AAATTTTTGGGACGCTAGATAATTGTATGAACTGGAAGAGTCATTGTAATAAACTGATATTGAAACTAACTTCTGTTTCGTATGTGATACGATATCTTAAGCCAATATTAACCACTGAACAGTTAGTAAATTATTACTATGCACATATAGAATCTAGAATCAGATATGGCATTTGTCTTTGAGGAAGCTCTTCATTGGCTCCAAATGTATTTATCGCCCAAAAAAAGATTATACGAATTTTAGCAGGTGTTAATCAGAGAACCTCCTGCAGAGATTTATACACACATTTGAAAATTCTAACTTTCCCGGATATTGTCATTTTTGAAATGTGTATATTCATTCACACCGATAGGTCGAAATATGATCGCATTTCATCTTACCATAATGTAAATACAAGAAAGTGCAATGATTTTTACATAAATTCAGGTAACCACTGACTTACCTCCTTACTTGGGGCTAAAACTTCATTACAAACTGCCCGACTCATTGGAAACTACTGATAGAATTCAGGTTTTCAGAACCACCCTTAAAAGGTTTTTATTAAAACATAATTTTTATACCCATAGATGAATTTTTCAATCTTTCGTAATTTTATTTCTCTATCACATTAATGTAATAAAGCTGGGGTTGAATGAAGATGATGTGTTTTGTCCATTATTGTATACATATGACAATTTTTCATCTATGTTTGGTTTAATTTTACTTCAAGTGTTTTTTATGTATGTACAAAATGCTATTTGACCTATCTTATAACTTTGTAAGTTCTACATGTTTAATAAAGTGATTTAATTTGATTTTGTCTATCCAGAAGTATTGCACCATCAAGATATTCAAGTTATTTTGAAAAAATATTTTTTTTGAATAAAACCGTTTTCATTAGTAGTCTTAACACTTACGTTGAGTGATATGAAAATTCCCCAAAGATAGATAATTTTCTTTTAAAATAATTCCCAATTAAACCAGGTACTCGTAAAATAAGACTTCTCTGCCTGCTTGACTTGAAAATAAAAGGCAAGTATGGGATGCAATTATACGGGAGAAGCTTTAGGTTGATTTAATATTTTTTCACTTAGAACCTGTGCAAGGAATTGCCAAATATATGCTAACACGTTATACCTTTTTTTGTGGGGTACTCTCTGTGCCTACGGTTTCTCAGTATTCTCAAAATGATGTGTTACAAGACTCCCTTTTCATTTCATTTTTTCCCAGATGGCGCCCAGTCGCTATCTTGAAAGAGATCCTCCTGCAGAGATTTATACAAACATTTGAAAATTCTAACTTTCCCGGATATTGTCATTTTTGAAATGTGTGTATTCATTCACACCAATAGGTCGAAATATGATCGCATTTCATCTTACCATAATGTAAATACAAGAAAGTGTAATGATTTTTACATAAATCCCGTCAAATATAATATAACCGCTAACTCACCTCCTTACTTGGGGCTAAAACTTTATAACAAACTGCCCGACTCATTGAAAACTACTGATAGAATTCAGGTTTTCGGAACCACCCTTAAAAAATTTTTATTAAAACATAATTTTTATAGCCATAGATGAATTTCTCAATCTTTCGTAATCTTATTTCTCTATCACATTAATTTAATAAAGCTGAAGTTGAATGAAGTTGGTGTGTTTTGTCCATTTTTGTATACATATGACAATTTTTCATCTGTTTGGTTTAATTTTACTTTAAGTATTATTTTCTGTATGTACAAAATGCTATTTGACCTATCTTATAACTTTGTAAGTTCTACAGGTTTAATAAAGTGATTTGATTTGATTTTGTCTATCCAGAAGTATTGCACCATCAAGATATTCAAGTTATTTTGAAAAAATATTTTTTTTGAAAAGTGTTCATTCGCATTCGACGCGGTTTTATGTCAGATGCCTGCTAAATATAACACACACTATATGTTCAAAAAATAAGAGGAATATTCATGTTTCTCAAAAAATATTTATTAGTTCATCAATTTCTATTTTGTTCCTTCCACAGTATTCCCCTCAGATATAATACAATATAATCCTCGATGCAATTTTGGGTATGTCCTTGAGCTCTCTCAGTTATTAGCTTTTTATCTCCTCTCATGGGTCTCTTCAATCTTGGGAACGGAAAAATTACCGTGGCTGAGGCATGATGACCAACAAATTACGAACAAGTAATGACGAGTAAGCAGGTGCATTATCGTGATAAATAGTAATGAATTATTTCTCCACAATACCGGACATTTTATTCGTATTGCTTCTCGGAAGCAGCGCATAACTTCAAGACAATACTGTGTACTGACCGTACGACCATGTGACAGGAACTCCTGATGAACATCGCCACGGTTTTCTAAGATAACAGTGAGCAAAACCTTGGTATTCGATCGAACTTGGCGTGCTTTGTTTAGTCTTGGCTCTCCTCGGCTCTTCCATTGGGACGATTGGACTTTGGTTTCGATGTCATAACCATATACCCATGATTCGTCACCAGTAATGACCCTTTTAAGCAAATCTGGATCGCGGTTGACGTTATTCAACAATTCCTGAGCGATGCCCATGCGACGGTTTTTTTGGTCAAAATTGGGCAATTTTGGAAAGAACTTCGCTGCCACACGTTTCATGCTCAAAATTTACGGAAAAATTGCATAACATGAGCCAAACGATATGGCGACATCCTCAGCAACTTCTGTAATAGTGATTCGACGATTTTCCATAAAACGTTTCTCCACTTTCTCAACATTTTCATCGGTTGTTGATGTGCTGGAACGTCCAGGGCGATCGTTGTCATTCACATTAACTCGATCTTCTGTGGAAAGCTTGTGCCATTTGTAAACATTTTTCATACTCACCGTATGCCACAGTTAACGTTTCAAGTGTGTTTGAGTTTATTTTTCACACAAAATTTGATGCAAATTCTTTGATAAATTTTTTTCGATAGCAGAAAATCGCCAAACAGATGATGGTTATTGAATAAAATTGCTTTTTGTAAATAATTAGTTTTATATAGTCATGGTTATCCAATCAAAATAAAATGAGATACAATGACAGAAATTAGTAATATGGCAACTTTAAAGAAAGGGGAAATCGGTTCTTTCAATGCAACATGTGTACAAAAGAGCTGGGCTTGTGTTATGAAAGAGCTGGGTTCCTCTTTGCAAAAAAAGTCCTTCAGCAAATAAAAATTACCTAATAAACTATTTTTCCGTTATATAAATCCTATCAAACTGTAAAATGGCTTTTTTCTGTGAAAATCAGTTATTTATCAGTCTCAAATCACAATCTTTCAACAATCTTAAGCAATATACTGTATATTTTTTTAATAATTAATTAACTAAAAACCTTGTAATGCCAAAAGTCTCTTTTTATTTTTCTTCTCTTTTTCCTATTTTTATTTTTTTCTGAAGCTGGATTAGGTCTGTCGGTCACATATGATGCAAGGAACGCATCGTCAGAAAATATGTTAGAATTTAAGGGATATATGCCAGTTTTGATGAATCATTTAGTAACATTTCTTAGGCTGAATGCTGATAAATAGGCATCTCTAACAAACTTCGCAATTTGGTATTGTGTATTGAAAGAACCGGCTCTTTCAAAGCCTCCACAAGTGGCTCTTTCAAAACATTTTGTCATTTAAGTTGTAACCTCAAAATGCAGCTATTTCGCGTAAACATGATGACATCAATATTATCGTAAAATAATGCTAAATATATGCCTAACAATACAACATATCAATTTCATGAACTCATGCTGCACTTTGTAAAACAAATGAAGTAAACGCAAACAAACATACTTTTTGGTCCTAAAATTTTTGATGTGTTCTACTGACGCCATTCGTTTTCGTAGAACTGTTAAATGTTTGTGGATGACAGCTATTCAGTGTTGCCATACAAACATTAAAATTGAATTATGGTGGGATTTTGGTAATGGGTTAGAAAATTACATCGGCTCTTTCAAAGCCTGGCTCTTTCATATACATTCTCCTGTACCTCGTGAAATTTGAACATTCACTTTATTTTTTGAACTGTCCACTTACAATATTCCAGCTGAGATGCTTATTATGGGATCCTCACAATATCTATCAGATTGATTGTCCCAGACGAATAATTGGATCCAATCAATGATGACGAGAATAGCAGCTTTTATAATCGAGTTATTCACAGCTTAACTATAACTTCTCTCCAAAAAAATGGTAATTGACTACCTTCATACTTGTTGTACTATAAATGATTGAAACTCTATTCATCTAGTAATATGAATGATTGATAATAATTGATACTATGTATGTTATTCACTACGAAAAAGCTACTGTGATACCGAAACATGTCGTGATATTTTTGAAAATACAGTTTGTGAAGATCAAACCGTCTTCGGTGTAGTTTGTGAAATTACTATGGATCTTCATCAAGTAACGCCAAGTCAGTGAGAAAAATAATACAATCTAGGTATATTTGAAGAAAGGACAATTGAAACTTTCTATGTTTTTTACCACTTTTATTTGTAACTAACGTTACTGCAGTTTCGTCTGATAAGGACATTTTCAAACTTATACATTAAGAGTTCAATATATAGGTTTGAAAATGTCCTTATAGGACGAAACTGCAGTAACGTTATTCACAAATGAAAGTGGTAAAACACAGAGAAAGTTTCAATTCTCTTCTTCAATATGATCTCCTACCACGTTGTAACGGCTACATCCGTCAACTATGTATATTTCCTTATTATTCTAAACTTCCCCATTTACTCTCATCCCAAAAATCGTTTACGGCAACATAAAACTTTTAAATTTCAAGGATAATTTTCCAAAACTACTGGAAGGTGAGAAACACCTTGGTTTTCATTCAATCAGCCTATGAGAAATATATATAATTATAGAGCATAAGAGAGCCGCACTATCAAGTCGTTATTTTACATAATACCCAAACCTAACCTAACCTAACCGCCTAATCCAACCTGATCGTATTCATTTTGATTTGGCATTATTTCTAGTCCAGACTCAGAATAATGAAAAAAAATTAATTTTGGAGTGGTATGATGCTTTTATGCTTTCATATATAATATGTTCACAATTTGATAATGTTCTTCAAAAAGTACTAGGCCCCTAAAATCTACGATTCTCGAATTTCCTAGTGTCGCCTGTCGTGTTGCTTATGCTTGCCGTGTTTTCCGGTGTGGCCGATTTGGGAGTTGTCACCTATAATGGCGAAATTTGGGCCTGAACCTTGTTTGTTAGTTAGTGGTGGAATGCCAGATCGCTTGTACCGGAAGATTTGTCCACCACTATTATGACCAGGTCTTAGTACGTCGGTTCGAACATTTATTCTGAAAAAAATGATATGAAAATAACATAACTGTTTCAAAGGAACATTGGGATTATCTGATCTCAATTTCCGAGATCAACTATCTTTACACAAAAAAGTGGGGAAGGGAATAAAGCCATTGAATCCAACAGGAACTCTTAATAAAGAAGTAATTTTCAGACACAAACTGAAAGAAAAAGATCCCTCAAAAAAACTACTTTCATATAGACATACTTTTATATGAACACTGAATCATACAAAAAAAACTTTTCTTTATCCAGTTTGTATTCCAAACATTCATTATGAAATTAACTTAGATATCCTTTACATTTTTATGGTATTTCGAAATATATCAGATAAAATGTTAACGAAAATTATAAATTGAACAGAATCTATAATTTGTGTCTGTTATTTCGTCAGAAGAAATATATTTTCTCGGCGGTTTTATCACTAACCATGCGTTCAAATTATTTTTCAATTCAGTTCATTACCATCAAAAAATCAAAACTTACTTTTCCTTTGGCTGAATTTGAACTAACTGTTGTTTGTCAACGGTTCCAGTGTTTCCAAAAGGCATTACAAAAACAACGACCAGGCAAAAAACTGCTAAAACGAAACACGTCATTCTGTCTTCTGAGGAATCTAGGTGCTTGTGTGCTTTGAAGATTTCACAACCAACTGTCTAATATTGATGACTTTCGACATTTTAATACCCCCAGTTTGAAATTCGGGTTTTTTTGTTTAGTGGTTCTTTCCTAATTTGAACAAAAGGAATGTTTTCATTAAAAACGGAGGTAGTAAAATCTTTTATATTTGTGAACAATAGAATCACATTAGTTTCTGAATTCTTATAATACCTGGTAATTACTAATTCAATTGCTCAAGATGCCAGACCTGCGTCATTTCACGCAACTAATATTTTTACAATAAATACTATAACATGTATACTTATTTGCTAACTTGCAAAGGGGCCCCTTCACGTAAAACAGAAAATTTATCGTTCACAACTCACATTATATCTATTATGAATTACTTTGAATTTCACTAGTTCGGACTTCCATTGTCTACTATATAAAATGATTTGAAATCCCTGAAACAACTAAAAAAGAATAATTAAAAATGAATAGCTGAAAATTATATTAAGCAAAAATAAACCTGAAATGAAATAATAGTGAAATAACCTACAAGTAAAAATATAACAATTGAATAAATAAAATTAAGGAATGAAAAAAGAAAATAATAAAAAGTGTAGAGATTCCAAGTCACGTTAGTTCACGACGTTTCGATTGCTAGTATCTACAATCGCCTTCGGGTGATGACTGGACTGATTCTTCCGAGAGATGACTATTTATAGGTCGTTGAAATACTTTCACTTATCCCTGCTTTCCATTTTCCGCTTCACTGATTCCGTGAGAGATGACCGTTTTGGCGGTAGTTGGCCATTTTTCATTTGATGATGGGTTTCCATATGTTGCGTATTTCTACGCTGGCCTGGCTGAATACGTTGTTGGACAACATGAATGCGGCTTCCTTGAATTTTCTCCTAAACCAATGTTCCTCTCTGTGCAATATCTCAGCTTGGGACCACTCGATGTTGTGTTGATGGGTCCAAACATGGCCTGCTATTCCTGATTTGCTGGTTCCCCCTCGCTGCGTGTGCTTCTTGTGCTCGGCAATGCGAACATTCAATGGCCTCTTAGTTTCACCAATATAGGATTTTCCGCACTCACAGGGTATCCGGTAAATGCAATTTTTGGAATCGGAGTCCGCATTCGGGGGCCTGGTTTTCGTGAGGCTTCTACGGATAGTGTTACCTGATCTGAAACAGGTTCTGATGTTGTACTTGGAACCAATCTCATCCTCTCCGATAATCCTCTGATGTAGGGAAGTGCAAGCACTGGTTGTGACGGCTTCTCTTCCTTGCGAGGCTCCTGCTGTCTTTTAGCCAAAGTCTTTTCTACCATCGCTTTGGAGTAGCCATTCCGCTGAAGATCATTTTTGATGATGTCTAGTTCCTTTGTATCACAGAGCCCAAAAGCACGGTCTAATAGAGTCTTGATGATTCCTCTTTTTGTCCACCACCATCAATCGACATTTTATATAGTAGACAATGGATGTCCGAACTAGTGAAATTCATCATGAAACATTGTCAATCACCTTCAAACAAACGATGAATTACTTTCTTATTAGTCAATGGGCTCTGCTTGAAGACTGGCAGTCAACAAATCTAAAGCAAATTAACTTCAAACGTTCAAGCCAGTTTCGATATACCTACACAGTAGTATCAATGGACTGATGCCTATCAGAAAACAACTACTACCCTGGCTGATACCACGAAGGGCGTTGGATTATATCCGACAGGCGTCAGTACAGGAACCTTCACAAAAAATTTTCTGCATATGCAATTGGCAATACAACTGAAAGAGTCGACCTTCAACTCTGGAACGGGCACACTTGTAGACCGATTTCGGGCTTATTAGCCACTCATCAGTGCAAGATAGTGATCATCATCGACCTAAAGTCAATGATATTCCACAATAGAAAATTGGAATTCTTTCAGAGTATTTCATTCCTCTTCCGAAGTTGGAGCGAACATCACAAAATGTCACTCCATCTAGTGGACGAGGTAGTAACCAACTGTATATCCGTAATTTGCCCGATTCCTCTGAATAAGGAAGAAAAACTTCCTTATTAGTCAATGGGCTATGCTTGAAGACTGGCACTAAACAAATCTAAAGCAAATGATTCTCAAACGTTCAAGCCCAGTCTCGATATACCTACACACCATCAGTTTAATGCACTGATGCCTATCAGAAAACAACTACTCTCCTGGCTAATACCACGAAGAAGAGTATTTCATTCCACTTCCGAAGTTGGAGCGAACATCACAAAATGTCACTTCATTTTCAATTGTACTTTTGGCTTGAACGTTTGAAGTTCATTTGCTTTAGATTTATTATGAATTACACTGTCCTAAAAATCTGATAAAGCTGGACGTTTATGAAGCGACTGTTTAAATAAATTATCTAACACAGGTGAGACAAATTCTGATTGCTAACGAAGAAAACTCAATGTAACCGAAATTTTCTGATTTAGTTTTAATGATTTTCTCACTTTTTTTCGAATACATTTTCAAACGTTCAAGTTCGGAAAAAAAATTAATGAAACAAAGTTGATATAATATACCATTTTTATTTGAGCAGTCAATGAAAAATAAATAAATTAATGATTTGAAAATGTAGTGACAATCTTTTTAAAAATCTGCATGAGCATTCAAAAATACACCAGCTTCAGGCTTTCCGGTTCCACCTGGTCCACCATAATGTCTGCCGTATTGTCCGGTCAGATCTACTCCAGCATTTTTACCTTCATAAATGTTATACTTGAAACCAGCGGCAACATCTGTACCATAACCACGCGTGTTATCTGCTCCTATGAAGGCAGACGAGCCGGATGGTATGTGGCTGTAGTCAACTCGGCCACCAACTTGGTCAGGTCTGAGTCCGTGTGATCCAAAATTTTTACTGGCGGATGCGGTTCCATCAAATCGGTGACGATCGTTTTCGTATAGTGTCCCTGTATGACTAGCGCCATAACCTGAATTGGAAATGCCCCATTGCGTTTGCCTGCAAAGAAATGAAATTAGAAATGAAAATGAAATTCGAATTAGAATTTTTACAATTCTAGTTTTGAATAACAGGAATAATAAAACTATTTTCAGTTCGAAATAATATTTCTTCCGAATCGATTATGTGGATTAGTGCAACAACTGCGTAGTTCTTGTTCTAATTATCAAGTGATGACTTGATACCATTTTCGGATTCAACCAAAAGTAATCAAATATATCTCTCTCTATGAAGACGTCATAATATGGCATCTTTATCGCATATATTATATGCGATCGACTAATCTTATTCATTCAAAATAAACAAGAAGCCTTACGGCTTCGTATTCGGATTTAAGTTTTCTGTCGATACCATATATTTCTCAATCATTACATTAACATTACTTTTATAGAATTGTATGATTCACGTATAAAACTTTCCAGAAAGAAAGGTGAACAACCATTTATATTGAAAATATTCCAATGATGTTTTGCATGTGTATTTATGTTGAGTGAATTTATGCCAGTGAAAAGCCAGTAAAATTACAGACGTATCCGAAGCTATTCTGACCATTTATCCTATTTTTATTCTTATTTGTGCTTTAACTGGTAAAGAGTTTGTTGTAAAGTGTTTCGTATTGTTAACACTATGCCTCGAGTGCGAAGACTTTGTCGTATTTCGCAACTTACGTGAGGCAGGTTTTTCAGTTAGAGAAATTTCAAGAAGAATCAATCGATCTTTGCGTACTATTCCAAGATGTTATCAGGCATAGACCAAGAACGTCAAGTATATGGAGCTAGGGGCGCCGGTAGTCGCAAGGGAACAACAGCGCGTGAGGATCGCCGATTAAGAATTTTGGATCTTAGGGATCGGTTCATTTCTACTAGGGCAATTGCGAATCAGTTGTTTGAAGAACACGAAAGGGTTGCGCACAGTATATCGGAAATAAGAAGTTTCGGACTTTTTTCTTATCATCCCCATTGGGTGTTGCCACTGACTCTCGAGCATGGACCGACTGCACTGGTTCAGAGACAGAATAAATTAGGATCAACAGAGGAACCGCGTAGTCTTCAGTGATGAATCCCGCTTTTGTTTGGGTATACACGATAGACGAGCAAGAGTAAGAAAGCGTCGTGGTAAAAAACAAGATCCCCAGTTTGATGTGGAGAGACATGCTCACCATACTATTCGTTTAATGGTATGGGGTGCCATTGCATGTGGTAGCAGGACACCTTTAGTCTTTATTACAGGCAACATGAGAGCTCTTCGTTACATTCACGAAGTAGTGGAGCCTCATGTCCTTCCATATCTTGAGACCATCGAGAACCCCATGTTTCAACAAGACAACGCTAGACCGCGTGTGACTAAAATAACTCTAGATTTCATGGATCAGCATGACATTAAGGGTTTACCATGGCCACCCAGATCGCCCGATCTTTCACCGATCGAACACGTGTGGGATATTCTTGGTCGCAGACTGCTGAATTTACAACAGCCCCCCACAGATTTTGGCAGCGCTTAGACATTAGTTAGAAGTAGGGTGGAATGATACCTCAACAGGATATAGACCACCTTATCAGGACAATACCCAAACGTATCCACAAGTGTATAAGCCATCGAGGATCTGCAACACACTACTGAACTTCACTGGTTTCACGATTATCCAATTTCTCTGAAAACTTACACATTTGTTTGCTATTATCTGTCAAGTATGTAAGTAAATAAGTATTGAAATATTTTCAATATAAATGGGTGTTTACCTTTCTTTGTCACTCAGTATATTATTTACTATTTCTAATCACAAAGTCAAAATAAACCAATAAAGTCAGCATTCCTGCTGGACATGAGAAACCTAACTTGGGATTAGGCATTCAATTCAATTGACAATATATCTAATAGTATTATTTTCTTACTTAAATGCTCAAAACTTACCGTTTTTCGCGATGGATTGGAACTATATAATACTGTTGTCCATCAACGTCCTCTACAACTTCGAAGGGCATTGCAGCTGCAATAGCCAGACAAAAGGTTAAAAACACAAAACACTTCATTTTGTATTAGAACTACTGATGTATTGCTTATAACTTGTTTGGTTAGAAGTTAGAAGATTTCTCAACAGACTGACCGGTATCTTCATGTTTTATACGCCTCATTCGAGTTTTGGGTATTTCTTGAAGCGGTCCTTCCCCTTTTTGCAAGTCGCGGGAACTTTCATATCGAAAACAAAGAAACAGCGACTCCTTGATTGGGGTCATCTTTGTTATACGATAAGAATGTTTCATTTCCATGAATAACTTTCATTTATATACGCATACATATTTCGTTCACAAACTATATTGATTCAGATGAATGATCTGGTGTAGTGATTACTGACCTTTGCCAAACTATATCTGCTCTTTTTTTAAAACGAGTGAATAATATTAATATTAATGATTCACACGTGTCACCAATTTCACCAAAATCGCTTGTGAGTGGAGATGCATACATCCTCTTTTATGAAAAGGAGGAAACAAGTTCGCACCTTTGAGCGTTTGGAAATGTTATTTTTGTACTGTTGTTTTTAAATGTTATAATGAATTAGTTATGTAAGAAAAAAAATGCTTTAGGTATTGACAATAAATATTGTTGACAATATTAACATTACGATGAGTTGTTACCCAAAAACTGAAATTATTCAAAATTCAACAGCCATATTTCTTTTACAATTTTTCTTTTTCGAAAGTTTGACATTTCTACTAGCTTAATTCATTTCTGTCTTTCTTAAAATGCTGCGTTTTGATCTCTGATTTTCGGCGACAGATAACTTTCACTCCCAACCTTGAGGGGTAACAAACATTAATTTATAATTTATAATTCTTTATGACTACTTTTTAATTCGCTGTTCTATCTAAGGTCGGGAATATTGCATCAAAGTGTGTCCAAGTCACTAATTCGATCGATAATAACTCTTAGTGGTTCCTTCATTCACGCAGAAATTGATTTGACTTGAATACATATTCTTCTTGTCACGATTCGTAATTATAATGATCATAGTTAAATTTGAATAACACAAATATATCAAAATTCAAAATTGTCAATATTTGTTATCCAGACCAATTTAGATATTCTGAACTCTTATACACACTTGTAAGATATGAAAAGGCAGTCATTCTTTTTTATTCCGGTTTATGACTTGACATAATGAAATATCTTCATACGAAAAACTGCAGTTAAGTAGATTGATTTACAAGAAAATAAGTTTGTATAAAACAGTGATCGTTGTGAAATTAACACACTTCTTACGACTTTTTTTTCTGCTGAAACATTTCTTTTTCGTTTCACAAAATTCTGAAATGAAAAAGCATGGAAGTACGAAATTTCAAGATAATGAAATAATAATTTTTTTTCTGTCATTCATGTATGTAATGTTAGTATCTGGAGATTATAAGAGAAATTTAAGAAGAAACTAGGAAATACTCGACTTTCCAAAATTTCTCAAATTTAATATTTAAAATAAAATCAGTGACATTGGTCCTTATTTCGAGAATTTTACTTTCGATACAGAAGACATCCGGATATAAAATCCACAGAAAATTGTCTCAAACTGGTAAAATTTTTTGTATTATATTGATTATTTCAAATTGAACGAGAATTTCACTTGTACAATCCAACAAACAAATCATAACACTTTAACTACAATAAAGTTGTGGAAACAGAAATTAAATCAACAATATTTCAAAATCAAAAGAGCAGTAATGAGAGAAAATGAGTAATAAAAAATCTATATTATTCAAGGGACGAGTCTGGCAAAATACCAAATACAACTAAAACAATTCCGAGGGTGATAATCTCGTGTTCTCAGACACGTTTGAAGTGAAATTTACTGAATAAAATCAAACTTTTCAATGATGATGACCAAGAAATTTCAAACCCATCGAAAATGTTATATTAAGTGTTTTGTAGGTGAACTTTCATTATCATTCAATTTTGTACGATTCATCAGTAAGTGATATACAGGGTGTTTCATAACTACGGTTCGAACCTTCAGAGGGTGATTCGATAGGTCGTTTTAAGAATAAAAGTTCTCATGAACATGTGCAGTGTTGCTACGTTTCTGAGATACAGGGCGTTGAAGTTAAAAAAAATGGTAGGTATCTATAAAATATCGTAAATATCCTTTTACAGATTTGTTTGAAATATGCTGCAGTTATTTGAAGTGATAAGGCGCTCATTTAGCCCTAACTAGATTGAAATTATTAGGTCCAGTGGAGTCTCAGTGGGCACCATAAGTGAGAATTTTGGGAAAAAATTGTTGTTGTAGTTTTCTGTTTTTCAGATTAATCAACCAAAAATATAACTTTTTCGTGACCTGCTTTGAAGACCAGCTGACAGTGATAGTGTCGTCATATTAAATGAGAGTTGTCGATTAACAGTGATTTCATCATGAATAGCCAGGTCGATAGCCAGGCGGTTCGACGTGGGTGATTTGTTCACTCACTCGAATTGACTGCCGTGTTGGTCGGTGATTCAAGCCCCAGTCTGAACGATCGATTTTCGCTTGCTATCGTCCACTCCGTGTTAGGAATCACACGTTAAAAGGTAAGACCTCGTTAATACTTAGCTCGCACAAGTTTCGGCTTCTGAGGTTCGTCGTTCCTAGGGGTGCGACAGTTAGTTAACGGAAAAACAGATTTTTTAACAGAATTTTACTAACGCTGAAATGACTGACTTGCACTTAGCGAATGGAAATGCGAAAGAATCACAGAGAATTTACCAGGCTAGAGTTATTCCATGTGCTAAAACATTTAGAACGCTACATGCAAGATTATGTGAAACTGGGAGTTTTAATAAAAATGCAGGTTGTGACAGAAACTGTGACAATGCCTGAATTAGAAGAAGCTATACTTGATGTGATAGAAGATCCTCCAAATAGTACCAGGAAGATTGCACTGCAGGTGAAAGTCAGCCCAAAAACCTTGGACAGTTTTAAAAAGGAACCTCCTATACTCATATCATATACAGCGGGTCCAAGCTCTACTGCCTAGGGATTTTCACCCAAGATGAATGTTTTGCAAGTGCACTTCCACCGCGGCCAATTCCACAAGGAATGATTGGTGACTACCTGATTGGTCCATTTTTTCTTTTCTACCAGCAAGATTACCAGTTGAATCCTACACGGACTTTTTCGAGATCATATTTTGTGTCGGTACTTGTAAGAGGCAATGGATTATGCACGAGGGGGCTCCAGCTCATTTTAGTGTTCATCAGCATCTCGACATGACATATCCTAATTGCTGGACTGGACATGCAGCACCTCAAAATTGTCTAGTTCGCAGTCCTGATTTGAATCCTCTAGATTTCTATTCATGGGGTTTTTTTCAATTTGTCAGACAATCAATGATACTCGGGTGTAGTCGTGTATTTCATCAGATGGTGGATATTTTGCTCATTCACTTAAAGATCGAAATTGTTTATCATTTATTTTTGGTATTTCATTTTATGTTGTCCCATGGATAGTTGTGATAGAAGTGATTTTTTTTCTAGAAAACGAAAAAGTTGTATATTTAGTTACTTAATCTGAAAAAGAAAACTACAAAAAAGTCAGTGGCATTCCTTTTTTTTCAATACTGTTGGCTGTAGTGCCGACTGGAACGCCACTGGACCTAATAATCTCCATCTAGTTCGGGCTAAATAAGCGCCTTATTACTTCAAATAACTGTGCCAAATTTCAATCAAATCGTTGCAAATATATTTATTATATTTTATAAATACCTTTTTTTTTAACGCCCTACATCTCAAAAAACGGTCTGACAGATCACCCTCTGAACTTTCGTATCGTAGTTAGGAAACACCCTGTATTTATCAAGTATTGTGAACATTTTTATCTTTCTTCAAGTATTTGACTGGAACAAAACAATTATAATAGATGAGCCCAAGCGGGGATTTCGGGATTTACTGAAGCGCGGCAGATTAATATACAGGGGGATACCTTGTACCCGGTTAAGTACTTCCACCAAATATGACCCCCATATATAAGGCTGCCCGTGAAGGATGAAGGATCAGATTAGTAATAAAATTGAGCATCAGAAATTCTCGAGCGCNTAAATGTTGTTCATCGATGTTTATTGTGCAGCTTGAATAGTCTGAATATCAGAAAAGAACACCTTTTAATTTTTTTCGCTCTATCAAATTAAAAAAAGAATTGTTCTTAATATCTCTAGAATTATTAAGTGATACATTAGTTATTACTTTCTTTCAATTATAAAATTATTTATGTGGAATGTACTTTGATTTGTTTAGAAAAAAGTGTCCACTTTTCAAAAAGTTTGGCGTTTAAATCATGATTTTCATTAATAGCATAAAAAATCTGCAACCGGGCATGAACTTACATGAATAACAGAACACAAGTTTCAAGTTTTCTTTAATATATATTTCTGTAACTTGTTCATTATCAATTTAGAATCAATTTAATTGTCACACCGGACCTAGTGTCGAACATAGCAAACTTATGTTGAAGTGAGAAAATCATCCATCATCCATCATCCATCATTATTATACATACATTGTCTTCAAAAATAATCGTAGCATTTTAATCCATTTTCGAATAAGGACTTAGTTCTCTTTCAACTCTGAATAGGAACTCTGAATTCCAGAGTCAACTTTTTTTAAGAATAAAAAAAGAATAATAAGGCAACAGTTAATAACATAAAATTTATTTCATCAATCAACAGAAAATAAATAAATCAATAATTTTAAATGTATTGGCAATCTTTTTAAAAATCTGCATGAGCATTCAAAAATACACCAGCTTCAGGCTTTCCGGTTCCACCTGGTCCACCATAATGTCTGCCGTATTGTCCGGTCAGATCTACTCCATGATTTTTACCTTGATGAATGTTATACTTTAAACCAGCGGCAACATCTGTACCATAACCACGCGTGTTATCTGCTCCTATGAAGGCAGACGAGCCGGATGGTATGTGGCTGTAGTCAACTCGGCCACCAACTTGGTCAGGTCTGAGTCCGTGTGATCCAAAATTTTTACTGGCGGATGCGGTTCCATCAAATCGGTGACGATCGTTTTCGTATAGTGTCCCTGTGTGACTAGCTCCATAACCTGAATTTGAAATGCCCCACTGGGTTTGTCTGCAAAGAAGGGAAATAATTAAAGAAAATTTTAGAATTAGTCTGATGTGAATTTTGGTTATTGTTTTGTATGAAGGATTTGTAGTGCAACTGGTAGGTAAATAATTGAATTTTGTTCTACAGTTCAGAGGGCAACTTGACATTTCATTTCACTAGGAGTCATTACATCTTTTAAACATAAAGTGTGAACGAAAATGCGAAAAACGAATTTTGCATTATCGTTCACATTTTATGAAAATTGGATATTCCTACTGTTTTACTTTTCTTATTGTTGCAATTAAATGATTTAAACAATAAAAAATTGATATAAATCAAGCAAAAAAACAATGAATGAAACCATAATGTTATTGTCTTAGTTTTTTAACAAATTCAACGAACAAGTATTTTTCTGAGACTCTCATTATTCACATTATTGTTTACTCACCTTTTTTCTCGATGGATGGGAACAATATAGTATTGTTGTCCATCAACGTCTTCAACAACGTCTAAGGGTATGGCAGCAACAACAGCCAGACATAAAGTTACAAAAACAAAACTTCTCATTTTGCTTTATTGACGAAGTGAATATTTTGTGGAGTTCTCAGACCTGTTTTTCGATGAACTGTAACTTATATTGTGATTCTGCCTCTTTTATATCCCCCGTTCTAGAAACAAGTAATTTTTAAAGTTGGTTCTTCCCCATTTTTTGACTTGCTGGAAATATAACATTAACGAGAAGTGGTAAATTTTCAACTGGTCCTTCTCGCATACTGCGATAAGAATGTTTATATTCGAAAGTTAATTACATTCAAAATTGATCAAGCAAGAGTTGAGTAATACGGTGAACCACACTGTGTATGTTCCATATCTTTATTAGTATTTACGAGAATTGTGATATTGATTCGTGATTGACGTTTATTAATAAAATATTGGAGTTTTAGTATTCTAGTGGTAGAATTAAAAAGTACAGAAATGATTGATATATTGACCTATTGACAATAGTTGTGGTAAACCGTCAATGAAAATCTCACAAAATCTGATTTGAATAAGTTATAATGGAATTCCATTATACAGTGTTTCCTAACTATGGTACAAAACTTCAGAGGGTGATTCGTTAGGTTGTTTTAAGAAAAAAAGTTCCCATACATACAGGGCGTTGAAGTTAAAAAACCGTTTTTATGAAATATCATAAATATCCTTATAACGATTTGGTTGAAATCTAGTACAGTTACTTGAAGTAATAAGGCGCTAATTTAGCACGAACTAGATTGAAATTATTAGGTTCAATGACGTCACAGCCAACTATTTCGAGAAAAAAGAACGCCACTGAGTTTTTTAGTAATTTTTTATCTTTTTAGATTAAGCAACCAAAAATACAACTTTTTCGTCGCTTTTGTTTTCTTCATATCAAGCTTCGTTTTCGAGTAAAACAAATCGCTTCTAAAATCCGTCCATGAACAACACAAAATAAAAACCAAAAGTAAAGTATTTCGACCTTAATGTGAATAAGCAGAATGTCCACCCCCCGATAAAATACACGACTGCAATTGAGATGTCATTGATTGTCTGACGCGTTCAAAAATGTCTGGAGTATTCCTTATGACATTGCAATTGTCAGTTATTTAATTCCTCAAGTCATTCACATCTAGTATAGAAGTTCTATAAACAAGAGTCTTTGGGTGAGCAATCTAGCAATCTAGAGGATTCATATCAGGACTGCGGGCTGGTCCATTTTGAGGTCCTGTACCTCCAATCCAGCGATTAGGGTAGGTGATGTCGATATACTGACGAGCAAGAACACTAAAATGAGCTGGAGCCCGGTCGTGCATTTGCCTTCCGCAAGTACCGACACTTCTAACAAAATGGGTAAATGATCTCTCAAAAAGTATGTGTAGAATTTACCTGTTGATCCTGCTCGTAGAACAATGGGCCATTTAGGTAGTCACCAATCATTCCTACCCAAGCGTTCAGCGAAAATTGTTGCTGAAAACGATTTTTCTTAATAACGCGGGAATTTTCGTCGGCCCAAAAATGATCAAATATTTGGTAAACAATTATCATTGTGTGTCATCGTAGGAATTAATCACCTGCAAAACATTATTCTTGGGTGAAAATCCCGAGGCAGTAGCGTTTGGACCCGCTGTATGTGATATGGGTATAGGAGGTTTCTTTTTAGAACTGTCCATACGGTTTTTGGGCTGATTTCCGGCTGCAGTGCAATCTTCGTGGTATTATTTGAAGGATATTTTTTATCGCATCAAGTATAGCTTTTCTAGTTCAGGCGATGTAACAGTTTCTGATCTTTCACCACCTGTATTTTTATTAAAACTCACAGCCTCACATAATCTTCCATGTAGCACATGGAATTACTCCATTAAGATACCTGTCCTGGAAAATTATTCGCATTTCCATTTGCTAATCTATAAATAAAGCATATGTCTGTCATTTCAGCGTTCGTAAAATTATTTATGATGCTATTTGACAACTCTGACTTTCACTGATATGACAACACTATCACTGTCAGCTGGCCTCCAAAGCAGATGTTCATGATATGCAAAGTGCCTTCAATTTTTTTTTCTCGAAATCGAAGCTAGATATGAAGAAAACACAAGTGACAAAAAAGTTGTATTTTTAGTTGATTAATCTTGAAAAATAAAGAAATACAACAACAAGTCAGTGGCGTACTTTTTTCCCAATATGGCTGGCTGCGTGTCCACTGGATGAATGCTGAAGTGACAAAAAAGTTGTATTTTCAGTTGATTAATCTTGAAAAATAAAGAAATACAGTAACAAGTCAATGGCGTACTTTTTTCCCAATATTGCTGGCTGCGTGCCCACTGGATGAATGCTGAAGTATAAAATAAAACCACTACTACTATACGGTTTGCGTATTAGTAACATGTGAAAAATTACTTGTTTCGAGAATTTCAAGCTCTACCATTTCCACCTAGCGGTTTGTTAACATTTCTGAAGCAATAATTGCACCAATAAAGAGACGATTTCTTCAATCTAACATACGTTTATTTCCAGTCATGGATATAAAATTGAATCAATGAAAATTTTGGATACTTTTCGAACAAAAAATGTGATTTTTCAATATTTCAACCAACCGTTCCTGTAGCAAAATCATTTTGTTGTGATGATGTTTTGTTTGCCTTAATGCCTATGAGTTTTTTCGATATGTTCGATATGTTTCATTAGTTTTTTTCAATATTTTCTGTTTATATTTTCAACTTTTCTCATATTTGAAATTTAGACAAAAATTCACATTTTGTACATAATCACTAAACAATATTATAGTAATATGTTTTTTGTAGTAACTTTTGAGGCAAGCAATATAATTATGTTCCCTGTTTGGATACCTGCAGTGATGTCATCGATAAGAATGGAATTATATTTTCTAGAAATCATCGATATTTCCGATTGAAGTTAGAAAAAAATGTAACTGATTCCGATTTACTTTTTTGTAAACGGTCCTACGAAGTTTTGGCATTCGAAACGTTTGAAAAATAATAATCAGAAAATGGCCGAAAGTTCCCTATTTTTGGAGTTTTCTTGAAAATCAATGTGATCTGAGTCACATAAGACTCTATAACTTGAGAAATTTTGAATATAATTTTATTTGCAAGATAATGGATGTTCAAATTTTGATACAACAGGTGAACGGACTAATCCAGTCATTTAAGCTTAAATTAGGTAAGAATCTCGGAATTCGAGATACCCAGCTGTAAGTCTGTAAATACTTGTATATTGACACCCTANTCGAATTCCGAGGTGAACTTACTATAATGACTGGACTAGACAGGCTGCCAGATGGACAGAGTTTTTCATTTTTTTCTTCGATTCTGAAAAATTTCTTCAAACTAACCATGGGGTCTATCTCGTTGAATAAGTTGAGGTCCGAAATGAGGATCGTAGTAAAGTACTTTCGAAATGTAGTATATATAAAGAGTTTTTCCTTAAGCCCAGAGAATAAAAGTGATACTAATGAGTTGAATTCTATATCAATACTTTTCAATTGATACGTTGTGTAATCAAATTGATATGTGACAAAAATATATGTAGATGATCTACATATTATCTTGAAGAGTTTTCATTAATTTGTGTTTTTCAAGCTCTCCATTTTCTTCTGAACTTCAGAAAAAATAAAAAACAATGAAGCGTTTTCTAAATGGTAATATTGCTCGTGAAATCTTTATTCGTTTGATTGTATTTGTTATCATATAAACCTGCTTCACTTATTTCAAAATGAGTGAAAAATAACCCAAACTTTCATCCTTTTTGATGACTCCAAACAAACTGTTGCAGCGAACAGACAATCGCTTTATACTCAATTGCCTTACTTATCTCAAGTCAAATCTGGCGAGCGGACTGTAGGACCTCGAAGGCCAATCCAACGACCGGGAAAAGTAGTATCCAAATAGTTTCTTACTTATCTGGAGTAATGTGGTGGTGCTCCATCTTGTTGGAATACAATATCCATATCGAATCCGTTAGGATTCGCTTCAACGATTTCAGTAATGAGAGGGGCAACATTGATTGAAACATATTCAAATTCAGGTCCCCTGTTGAATTTTCATCAATAAATAGAGGTTCTACAATATGATTTCCCAATATTCTTACCCAAACATTAATTTTTTCTGGATATTGGGTATGTGTTTCCCGGAAAACGTGACGGTTGGTGTCACTCCAATAACGGCAATTTTGTCTGTGAACATTGCCGTTCAAAAAAAATGTACATTCGTCACTGAAACAAATTTTGTGGAGATAGGCAGGATGCCTTGCCATGGTTTCCTTCCTGATTTCGCAGAATTCTGTTCTTCGATCAGGGTCATCTTCAGTTAATTGGTGTACCATTTTGATTTCGTATGGATGATATCTATTCCTCTTCAAAAGTCTCCACACAGTAGAAAGAGTCTCCTCTCCAAAAGTCTCCTCACAAACATTCGTTCAGAATTTACTACCATCTCACCAAATATCTGCATTAAGTTCTTCTGCAATGAACAGATGACCTGGGGGCTTTTTTTTATGTATCTATACTACCGGTAGTTGTGAATTTGGATACAAGTTCCCTCAAATACTTTCTACAGAAAGGACGATTCTAAAAACGTTCTTTGAAAATCCTCTCGGTCTCGTAAAAGTTACGCGTCGCACCATAAATAAAAATCGCTTCAATTTTTTCTTCCAATGGACGAGAATTGACCTTATAGAGATTGTTGACGTGGTAGGTACCTTTCTATTGGTAAAACCGAAAACTAAATGTTGTTCATCGATGTTTATTGTCGTACTGACATTTTTTGTCGTTTTTATGAACAAAAAATAACATAACAAGCCTTGTCGGATTGTTGTTATTGCCATATGACAAATAAAAAGAAATATTTCTAGAAATATCGATAGTAATGTGTTTGTCTTCAGTAAATTGTTACCTAAATGTCCCGCTATTGTAGGCTTCACCTATTGTATTAGGTGAAGATATTGACTTCATATTCTGGGGTTGTGAACTATTCGTCAGGAGCTTCAAAATGATGTGTCACAAGACCCCCCTTTCTCTTCAATTTTTTTTCCAGATAGCGCCCAGTCGCCATCTTGAAAGTTTCATCTGTCAATTTCACTTCAAAATGAAATATTCATGTACTAATTTTGTTATCCCAAATTTCAGTGTTTTGAGTTGACCCGTTCAAAAAATAAAAAGGGGAGACATTAAAGAAATGTACTGTATAATCTTCAAATAGTATTCCGCTATTTGATTGGATGCATTGGCAAATTGGAAAAAAATAATAACGTGACAATATTAATAAAATATACGATTTTTATTTTATCAGTCAACAAAAGTTAATAAATTAACGATTTAAAAATGAAATGACAATGTCTTTCAAAAATCTGCATGAGCATTCAAAAATACACCAGCTTCAGGCTTTCCGGTTCCACCTGGTCCACCATAATGTCTGCCGTATTGTCCGGTTAGGTCTACTCCAGCGTTTTTACTTTCATAAATGTTATACTTCAAACCAGCGGCGACATCTGTGCCATAACCGCGCGTGTTATCTGCTCCTATGAAGGCAGACGAGCCGGATGGTATGTGGCTGTAGTCAACTCGGCCACCAACTTGGTCAGGTCTGAGTCCGTGTGATCCAAAATTTTTACTGGCAGATGCGGTTCCATCAAATCGGTGACGATCGTTTTCGTATAGTATCCCGGTATGACTAGCGCCATAACCTGTATTCGAAATGCCCCATTGTGTTTGCCTGTAGAAGGAAATGAAGATTAAACATTTTGGGGTTCATCGATTTAAGGATTTCCAACCCTAAAAAGATATCAGTCAGATAATGATTTCTATAAAAGTGTTGTAGTACAACAGGTGGATTATTAATTGAATTAGGTCATCACTTTGTTCTATAGCCTAGGATCCAAGTACACATTAGATTTAGCCCACATCATTTATATCATTCCCACATGTTGCAGCTGAATGTTTGAAACATATAAAAATATCAAGTAAAAAATATTAAATCAAAAAGTTCTATGAAATCGTTATTATCTTGGATTTTCTGAGATGAATATGGACATGTGTACTATGTCCTGATCATAATATATCCATTCATAAACAAATAATTCCATAGAAAGGTTTTCTAGAGGTTTATATTATTTGTATTATCATTACAAACCCTAATTTTTGATAAGAATTGTGATATTGATTCATGATTCCGGCTCAACAATATAATATTTGAGCTTAGGACTTCTGATGGCAATTTCAAAAACATGAATTATATAAATGGTAAAATAGAAAAATGCAAGAATTGATAAAAGGTAAAAGCGAAAATTAAAAATATATAAAGGAAATCATACATGTTTCCCAATACTACAGAACAAAATAATATCTCTTGACGATAGTAATTTTTTTGTTCTGGTGTGAAAGAAGTTTTCAATAGATTCATTCAATACCAGAGCTTTCAGTTCTACTTATCAAGTGTTGTTGAAATGTAAACAATAATTTTTAACTTATGATGAACTGTTTGGAACTTTTGGTGAAGTAATGAATATTACTCGAGTTTATTACCAACACCAAACCGTTATTTTACCACCTCGACACGTGTTTCGATCACTCCAATAAACTCCAATAATATCAATCATTTCTAACTTTAGCTGAAAATAAATAATCAACATTCTTGATGAACTGTATTGATGTATTGGTTTTTTTGGCCTTCGAGAGTGCCGACAACTTTAAGAGTGCACCATATCGTTTACTTCGACTATAAAACTGGAACCTGTGGCTTAGAATAAAACCAAAATAAGCACTTTTTCCTATCACCAGAAATGCAATTCACTTCTCGACGCGCATTTCAAGTTGGCGTATTCAGGAGATTAAGAAAACTTAGGTGCATACACTAGGTGCATACAAAATAACGCTTAACGAAGATTATAATGAAATGGCTACTGAGAAATCTATATTTATGATCAAAAGAGTATCAAATCTTGAACTCTTGTTCATCTTATAAATGTTTTCTAACCTCTCAAAACATGGAAAGTAGATTCAACTTTCTCAGATCCAATTTTAAAAATTAATTCGTAACTATCTATTCAGTTTCGATTTGTTTCAGCAATGAGACAATATAGTTACACTAATTTCTTAATTTTTTTCAGGAGTTGGATAAACAAAAACAAGACAATGAACAGTTAGAGCATACGATATCGGAGTTAAAAAAAGAACGCGAACAAATCATGAGGGTAACGGAAATGATGAAAAAAGAATTAGAAGAATATAAACTACTTGAGGAACAACAAAAAACTAACTTAGCTAATTTGAAGTAGGTATAAATTCTCACATTACAATAAAGTGTATTAACAAAATCTAAATAACTATTTTTTTTCAAATAAGGAAAGAAGCTGAGGCTCACAAAAGGGAAAGAAACGTCTTAGCACATCAGAGCACTTTGATTCTACAAGGTCTCAATGAAAACTCCGATGGGGTAGAGAGCATGATGTTGCTTCAGGAAATAGAGGAGCTCAAAAGGATAATTGAAGACGAAAGAAGTAAGGCAGAAGAGGAAATCAATGCTTTACAGGTAAGCACTGTTCTAACATTATACATTCCTCTGTGATATTATTTCAACGCTTTCTCTCTGAAGCTGGATTCATAGATGAAGTCAAAACGCAAGGCAAAAGGTAATAAAGATAAATGTGCATTCTATAAGTCAAGCACCGTTACGATTCACCAAAACCAAAAAACTTTCAAGATTATTTCAGTTTTACACATGCTTATTAAAAATGAAGTCAAAGAACGGTGTTAAAAAAAGTAAGGTAAATAACCATAATATTGTAAGCTGACCAATGATTGGTGCTCTGATTGGTTGTCCATAAAGACACCTAACATAAACATCTCTTTGAAGATTAAGTAACGTAAACGTAACGTAAACTGTTCCGTAATAACACGGCTCCGTGCATGTTAACGTGCATTTATGGTTATGTTTGATCTCTTTCTGAGTTAAAACACGGAATTCCTACTTTCAATAATTGGTTGTTTAAAATCCTATGACAGTTTTTCATTTTGAGTTCAGTTCACTTAGTATTTATTCATTTATTGTTATCAGCATGTGTGAACTTTTTCTTGTTTTGGTTAGGCGTTACGGAGCGTGATTTATGAAACCAACATTTGTCATTGTGTGTCAATGCTTACGTTACGGTACGTCTTGCATTGCGTTACTTTATTCATAAATTCAGATTCAGGTTACGGATACGTTGGAGGCGGCATGAAATGGCTTGAGTTTACATTACCTAATCTATAAATGAAGCTTTATCCCCAATCAATAATCGTTACATGTCTTAAACGTTCTTCTCATTTCGCCAGTAGTAATTCATCAACAAAATTTTGAAGATAACTTGATGCTAGAAATTAGCATCACATGAGTGAAATTCACTTAGGATTCATATGAACCCCAAGGTTTTCTGTTCAACACAACAACACAATCACATGAAAGTCAATTTAGTTCAATTATTGATGTATAAGTTTACCAAACATCATCAATTTGGATTCTACTCACCCTCTGCTTCAAAGATCACCTTTTACTGGAGGTTTCATTTATTATTCTTCTCGGAGATGAAAACATGTTTCTTCTCGGTTTTCGCAAATAACTCTATAGTATTTTTCGAAAAATAAAAATTGAGCTTATTTAAACATCAAACGAATAGTGGATGCATGGTGTCTGTTAACGCAATAGAAATGAAATAAAGGTTTGTTGAACGTTGGTTCTTATTCGTCAAATGCCGCATTGAAAGTTTTGACATGAGTTTACCAAAAACAACGCATTCTTCTAAGGAAACTCAGTTACTTCTTTGAAGTGTTTGGAAAAGTCTTCATATTTGTTTTTGTGGAGGTTTATTCGAAAAAATTAACATATTCACTCGTGAATAAGTTGAAAGATAGTAACTTTCAGAAAAATATTTACGGAGAAAAGTTTTGGAATTAGTCAGTCTCTCCATTCCCGGACTCATTTCTGTTAAAAAATATTTTTCGATAGTGGAATATTCAATAGTTTATGAAGCATACTATTCAGTGGTATTGATATTGATGTGTCGAGGAATCATGCATGTTCATTATTAGTTTTAATTATAGTCAAGAATAGACCATTTATTGAGTTATTCACGTTCGTTTCAGTAGTGAGGCGAATTTAATGGTCAAATAAAATTGATATTGATTAAATGAGGAGAACCTTTTTCCAAAGAATGAAAGAGCATAGGAATAGTTTCTTGAATGTGAAGACCAATTACACATTTGCAAAACATCATTTGGCATTGGAGAATGACTTCAATCCCGACTATGACATATTACATTTGAAATGAAAAGGTTTAAAATTCAATATTTCAGAATGTTTGCAAATGGATAGAATTCAGAACATTCACTGAACAACTGAGTTGAATATAATGATTTTCCTATATGGAGTTTTTTTCTAATGTTTGAATTGGCATTCTGTTGATACGTTAACTCAGGTAATTTTCATTTCAAAGAATGTCCATTTGAATGAGTGTGTTTGTTAAATTTGTTGTTTCAGAAAAAGTTATATAAATAATTCAAATTATTAATGTAGTTGAAGCACTGAATAAGTATAATTTAGTTAGTATGATCACGCCTAAAAAAGCTATTGTATTGTGAAACAGTTGTTGAAATTCTCATCTTGAGAGTTTTACTTGAATATGTTAAGGAATCTCATTTGGTGGTTGATGTGGCATCTAAGTTTTGCAATGGTTTTGAAATGGTTAGCTATACGCCCGAAAGTATTGTTGACTCCAGAATATCAATATACATTTATTGAGAAAGAAAGTTTTTGGCTTTCTACTACTCCATCTTGATACAAAAACAGATGAGAGAATTAATTAATTTGAAAATAAGTAACTCTATACATGGATGTGTAGATCATGCAAAGAAGTAACTTTCAGACACAAACTGAAAGAAAGTCCTCCTGAAACAGCTACAAACATTGAATTACACGAAAGAAAAAAAATTGTTTCGAAACAAATACTTCTATATGAACACTGAATTATACAGAAGATACTTTTCTCTACTCAGTTTGTATTTCTAACATT